TCTGGAAAAACAATATTAATGTTCCAGTTGTAGTTGTTCATAATGTAGTAAAGGAAAAGAATACCAAATCCTGAGTTCAGGCAATCAACCCATCTTGGCCTCCCAGAGTGTTTAGGTTCTTCTAAACCTAACCAAAAATTATATATGTATCATGAGTAGAGGATCTACATTAGACTCTTACCAGTGGTTCACTTCAAATACTGAAACTATACGTGACTGGGTTTGCCATTTTTTTTTAAACTTTATTTTTTGCCATTTTTGGCCAGGGCTAGGTTTGAACCCGCCACCTCTGGTATATGGGGCCGCTGCCCTGCCATTTTTGTTTTTCTATATTTTTCTACAATATTTTCATGATAAAATAAATTTTTCTTTTTAAGTCAAGACTTTTTTTTTTTTTTTTTTTTGAGACAGAGTCTTACTGTATCACCCTTGGCAGAGTGCTGTGACATCACAGCTCACAGCAACTTCAAACTCTTGGGCTTCAGAGATTCTCTCACCTCATCCTCCCAAGTAGCTGGGACTACAGGCGTCCACCACAACACCTGCCCGTCTTTTTGTTGCAGTTCAGCCAGGCCGGGTTCAAACTCGCCACCCTTGGTATATGGGGCCGGCACCCTACCCATTGAGCCACAGGTGCTGCCCTTGTTTTGTTGTTTTGAGACAGTCTCATTGTGGCCCTTGTTCAAGTACCATGACATCACAGCTCACAGCAACCATAAACTCTTGGGCTTAAGTGACTCTCTTGCTTCAGCCTCCAAAGTAGCTAGGCCTATAGGTGACCACAACAACGCCTAGCTATTTTTTGGTTGTAGTTGTCATTGCTGTTTGGTAGGCCTGGGCTGGATTCAAACCTACCAGGTCTGGTGTATGTGGTTAGTGCCCTAGTGGATGAGCTACCGGTGCCGAGCCAGCATGTGAGTTTTTCATTTCTCCCAAACACTTTCACACAATTAATGCTGCTTTAAATTTTATTAGCACAAAGTGTGGAACGGGCCTTTCAGTTCATAAGAAAGGTTTCTTTTTTTTTTTTTGAGACAGAGTCTTACTTTGTCACCCTCGGTAGACTGTCATGGTGGCGTAGCTCACAGCAACCACAAACTCTTGGGCTCAAGTGATCCCCTTCCCTTAGCCTCCTGAGTAGCTGGGACTATAGGTGCCCACAACAATACCCGGCATTTTTAGAGATGGGGTCTCACTCTAGCTCAGGCTGGTCTCCAAATCCTGAGTTCAGGCAATCAACCCATCTTGGCCTCCCAGAGTGTTTAGGTTCTTCTTTTTTTTTTT